TCCTAACTTATATAGCCCCTGTGACCTCATTCACCTGGGCCAGCGGAGGTCAGCCCCAGTTGGCTGTCAGCCAACCAATCTGAAATGCATCACCTGTTACCGGGCAGATCCCAGCTCCCCAGGTAGATGCCCCTCACCCAGGTACCAGTCACGCAGGCAGAGGGAGCAGGTTTCCCCCTCCCTCAGCAATGCAGCCAGCTCCAGTTCCCTAAAGAGCCAGGCTGAGGCTGTGGTCTCCTGTGTGCTGGGCCCATCCTAATTGAATGGTCACAGCACAGAGATTTAAATCACAGTGTCACAGGGCAGAGATTTTTGGGGAGAGACCAAGGTGGCTTTCTGCCACAGGGTGCACTGCTGGGCAGGGGTCCAGCTCCCACGGGGTGGACCTGGGGCACGGGCAGCCTGGCCGGGATGTGTGCTGACCCTGCGCTCCCCCCAGACGCTGGCCAAAGGGAAGACCATCTCCACTGACCACCTGCGGCTCTTCATCTCCCGCCGGCGCTGGCAGGTAACGCTGGGGCCGCGAGCTGCCTTGAGCTGCGTGAGGGTCGTCCTGTCGTCTCTGGCCTCCAGACCCGGTGCCAGGACCAGGATGGTGGAGGATGCTCCCCGCGCGGGTGCCTCGTGCCTGGCGTGGAGCCGTGGCGCGGTGCGGGGCAGGGCCGGATCCTGACCCCTGCCCTGGCCTCCGCAGCGCTCCCAGATCAGCTACAAGTGCCACATGGTGCTGCGGCCCATCTCGGAGCTGCTGGCCGACGCTTGCGACCGCCTCTCGGTTGCCGTGCCCCGGCACTCAGCGGAGCCGGCGGCCCTGTCGTCCTCCTCCGACTCGGACGACCTCGAGGAGCTGCCCTGCCTGCCCGTGCCCCACCCCACCGCCGCCGAGGCCGCCGGCTCCCGCGTGTCGCTGGATGAGATCCCCACGGACGATGAGGCAGCGCCCATGGACTGGCAGGGCGAGGAGGCCGAGCAGCGGCCACGGGGCGCCAGAGCCTGGAAGCCCGCTATGGAGCCGGAGGAGCCCGGGTCCGCGGACAAGGAGCCCCCCGCGTCCCAGCGGCGCCCCGAGCTGCACAAGGGCTCCAGCCCAGAGCTGCCAGGGCCGGCGCGCCCGTCCTCCCGCCGCGGCGAGCTCAAGCGCGGCAGCTCTGCCGACAGTGCCCTGCTG